CAATATAAACAACAACTTAATACAAACTACTGCTTCCTATTCTTCTTTTTTCTTTTCTTCTTTCTCCTTCTAATCTTTCTTTTGGTTTTCTTTCTTTGCGTAAGCGCGAAGCCTATTGCGCCTGCGCACTCCACATTGCACCTTCAGTTACTCACAGGCCAGCACCGGAACGTGAGGTGCAGAGTTCACGCATATCCAGGAAGCAACGTCAAGGCTCAAGTGAATTCAGCAAAATATAAGATTGCACAAACAGAAAGGATTGAGTCGTGATGCGTAAAGTATTCTGACGTTGCTTTTTCATTTTTTTCCTTCTTTTTCAGCACGTTATTCTTCCTGCACATTCCAACTGTCCCGGAATTCCACCTTGTGTTTTTCTAAACGTTACTTCTATTGTATTTGCTTAATTCACGACTGTTCGAAGGTTCCTTTTATCCTACGCGTGCTCCCCCTTATGTATAGTATCACAAAATGGGTCTCTAAGGGCTAATAAACGATGATGATGATGACGCTCCCTCCTTATGTTATACCCCAGCAGCGATTTAACAAAATAAGGTTTAATAAATGATGATGATGATGATGATGAGAAGTGGCTTATCGCTGAGAAGGCCACGAACAAAAGGTCATCGATTACACACAAACAAATGCGCATACAACTACACACGCGTGTGACCAGCTTATGTTCGCGGGCAGCCACCCAGTGCCTAGTTTCTAGCGCACGACAACGCCGACGCCAAATTGAGCCTCTCATAACAAGCAACAGGATAGAGTGTTGGGCTAGTCGGTACAACTGCATCATTAAATTAGCGCGAGGAGGCGTACAGTCATCAGCAAGCTTTAAAAAAAAACGCTTCGACACGTGACCTGATAAACTGTACTCTGACTGATGCCAGCCGCGAAGCACTGGACATTGTTGTTAAGATAATACCTCGGCGTGCTCGGATAGTATGTCGGCAGGCACAAGTAACATATCGGCAACATAACCTAAAGCTACGCCGCGCTAGCGTCAATCAAACTGTTGCGTGTTGCGCAGCGTTCATGTTAAGTTAGCTGATTGATTGATATGTGGGGTCTAACGTCCCAAAACCACCATATGATTATGAGAGACGCCGTATAGTGGAGGGCTCCGGAAATTTCTTCCACCAGGGGTTCTTTAACGTGCACCAAAGCTGAGCACACGGGCCTACAACATTTTCCGCCTCCATCGGAAATGCAGCCGGCGCAGCCGGGATTCGAACCCGCAACCTGCGGGGCAGTATAGCCGAGTACCTTAGCCACTAGACCACCGCGGCGGGGCCATGTTAAGTTAGCTGACGACTGTATACACGTGATGGCAACAACGCGTAGGACGTACGAGCCTTCCCTGTCTACGCCTATTCTCGCTGTTTGAACGAGGCTCGTAACAAGCTTAGCTCGAAAAAAAAAGACAAAACATAATTTACAGGCTCCCGTAGCGAACATAAAATACAAAAACAAACAAAGAAAATGAAATAAGCAAAAACAAAGGTTATATGGTTGACATACCGTGCAGAGATTCAAAGTCGCTTTACCTTTCTTTTTTTTCCCATTCATTTCCCGTGATGCGGGCCGAGGTCGCTTACTCGGGGCGGCCGATCAATCATTTTGCACCTCGTAATTATGCAAGTCCCGACAAGCGCGCGGTGGACGAACGTAATCCCGTTTATTTTTCAAACATCGCGTCGTCGCTGCGCCACAGCTGCGGCATCAGGGTCTTACAATGAATTTTATTTAGTACAGACGCTTGATTTTATTATTCTTTCTTCCTTTCTTTCTTCTTTTGGTTCTTTCTTTCATTTCCGCTTCATCTCACCCAACGCAACTCGTCTCAGAAAGCAGAAAGAGCTGAATATAGCGGGGTCATATCTCCCGTTTCCGGTTTTCGGTTCACCTCACTGTGCTCCCGCCTTCAGTAGGCGCAACCCAGAAACTCTGTAACACTTCCACAGTTCATTAAACTGTCTTAAGCAGTTGGTTGGTTGTTCCTTAGCGACCTGGCACAACCCACCGCGGAGGATTGGCCATGAAACGGACGGCACCTTATTTAAGAGATGATATTGTTTACAATTCGAACATGTTTAGGAATGAGTGGTTTTTTGGAGGCTCATAGGTACCATCAAGGTTTTCAAGAAATACCGTACGATAAAAATAAAAAAAACTTAGCAAGCCAATAGGGTGAAACAGTGAAATTGTACATTAGCTTCACATTCTATTCGTTTTGTCTCCCGTGAAAAAACAAGAAAAATCTCACACGGCTTTGCAAACTTTCCTGTGGCTCCTGTTGTACTACAAGTTGTTTTGGGCTATTTTGCATGCCGTTCTTGTCCACGTTTATGGATATTTTTTGTTCCGCTCAGTTTCCTTCGTACTCGAATGTGCACACGTCGATTCGTTATTCTGCCTGGTTGCGACCGTTCGGTGCGCCCCGATCTTAATCGATGTTGCGGGCGATCGACTTGCAAGGCACGGCCGCAAACGAGGAGGGAAAACGAAGAAGCTTGCGCTTAAGCAGCTATAAGAGGATACAAACATACAAACAAACAAACTTAAGCAGCTCGCGTGCAAGACAACAAAGAAAAAAAGGACGTTGCTGATCACAATCTGAAGAGAAATCTGGCATCGGCATTTTCTCTGAGACCCTTAACTGTTCCTTCTCATTGAGACTGCACGATTTCTCGTCAGTATTTTCGGCAGAATTTATGGCGGTGATTATGGCATTGAGAAAGCTCAGCGCGGCAGCCTCAAGTGTGGCCGTAGTTGGCGATTCCTTATATTGGTGTTCGCGACGCTCGCTTCCAACAAGTGATTCCGGTATATATTTATGCCGCACGGTTCATTTTCTTGTCCCTACCGATATAACTTTAATCAGATCGATCTGGCTTTCCGGACACAATGTAGATGTACATGTAGATCCTAAACTTTCGTCTAACACCCACCCTGGAGGATCGGCCAAGAATCGGGTAGCTTAACAAAAAAAATGAATGTATATGTTTCAATGCTGGCGAAAAAAATTAACAGAAGTATTGACTTTTCGTAAACTATCCTTCGGAAAAAAAAATAGATGAATTAGTTCCTACTGAATGAGGAATAAACGATTCATATTAATGAAAATATTTCTATAGCCTACATTAGTTAACTGAGAACATTTTGGTATTGAGGTTAATAAGTAAATCTATTAGACTGTAGAATGAAACCTTGCACGGCCTCGCACACTTTCCCGTTGCTGTGCTATAGGATATATGTTCACCTAGAGATAGTAAATTTGACGTTGTCAAAGCCAAGCCAAGGATTCATAACGGTATTTCTAATGATACGTTTCTTAATGTTGAAAACATTCTACAAGAGATCAAAAAGTGCTCCACAGTTTCTTCTTCTCCACAAAAAGAACAAAGTGGAGAGGGAGTCAAGCCTGCTCTAAACAAATAAAAATTTGATGGAGGAATGCAAAGGGATAAAAATGAAATAATTGGCGGACACTCTGACGAAAGTCGCTCTCGGTGGCCCGGTACTTTAAATTATTCTCATAATATTACTCATAATACGTGATAGATTTCGAAGGCGTGCCATGATTCAAGACTCTGGTAAAACATTAACCACTCACCTGAACGAATAACGACACCTCTTGTTCTCTTGGTGTAAGAAGTTCTGCTCAACACGCAAAAAATCAGTTATTTTACGAAATTACGCTGCACTGTTCTAAAACCAGATATACATGCGTAGAGGCTGGTCAGGCTCCTTCCTCTCTAATCATTCTGTAACAAGGACGAAACAGTGGAGCATTATTTTTTATTGTGTACTCGCTTCAAGTCACCAAGGAAAAACATTCTTAAAGCGGTTTTTAGTAGAATTAGATTGGATTTTACTACTAATATTATATCCTTGAGAGCCTCTTCCTTAGGTCATTGTCACCGGGATATGTTTTCTGCTGTAGAAGGATTCTTATTTGAATCAACGTAGTTTTCATCGCAAATCTCTCAATAAGCAACATTTAATTTCTTCTACTTATTTTATAATTCACTAGATTATAAATTAATATGTGATCTCTATCTAATTACTCGTTTTTTGGCCAATCCCTCAGATTGGGTGTGAGCCATGCATTAAGGCCATCATCATCATAATCATCAGCTCCGTCATCCGGCCAACGAAAGAGTTCAAGGTCAACGCGTGCTTCTTCGGAATAGAGCACCGCTAGACCGGCGGTCGTCCAAACCACGACTTCGTAGACGGAACTCCGCAGTACAACAGGTGACCACGACGTGCTTAGACGACACGGAAGTGAGCGACACCTGCAAACAGCTGGGCATTAAGAGCTTGGACACCACGGTAGGTTTGAGGAAACAATCAAGCTTCTCAGCAATTTGTGGATGCATGAATACGGGCAAATCTTGAGCCCTCATGTTGCCAGGCCTTCGTCCCCCCCCCCCCGCCTCTGCCAGGAAGCTCTCTGCATTTAACGTGGTACTGAACTTCCCCCGGGTTAACTGGCGGAACATGGGAGAGGCCTTTGTCCTGCAGTGGACGTAGTCAGGCTGATGATGATGATGAACTTCCCCCAGGCATTGCAAGGTGTCTGCACCTCACATGCTTTTCCATGGCCTCCGTGATCGGAAGCTCTCTGCATTTAACGTGGCACTGGACTTCCCCCAGGCCTTGCAAGATGTCTGCACGTCACATGCTTTTCCATGGCCTCCGTGATCGGGGTTTGATTGGGCATCGGTGTGTCGTGTAATGACGTCACCGAGTGACGTCACATGGTGACGTCGTTGATTTCATGACGTTACTATAAGAACTACGGCGATGTTGACGTCATATACGGTGACGTCATTCAGTGATTATATTTTTTTTTGGCAGCACTCGTGTTGCCACCGTCGATAGCCATTTTTTTTGCGTTTAACGAAGCACCTATAGGGTTTCTTTTGTGACTTGATGAGATAACTGCGACATCCGCTCGCTATACCTCGAACGAATGCCGCCATTGTCTGCAGATGAACGCCGACAGAGCCGGCGGCTCGATGCCTCCGTTCAGCACTTTCAGCGGCGAAGCGTCGTCGTCGACGGGCACGCCGACTCACGTGACCGAGCTGGACCGCGTGGTGGCGTACGCAAACCGCTTCTCGCTGAAGCTCTTCAAGCACGCGGCGGCGCTCGACCCGCGCTCCACGGTGTGCGTCGGCCCGTTCGCCCTGTTCCAGACGCTGTGCATGGCCTACGCCGGCGCCCAGGGAAACACCGAGCACCAGATGGCCAAGGCGTTCAAGGCGAGCACGCTTCACCGCTAGCTTGACTCCCGTTCATTGCGAGAAGCGCGATTGGTGTGCACTCTGTCATGCGTCGAAGCCGTGATGCCTTGGTAACGCGACTTATAAACAGATTGCAATCCACGTTGCACACGAAAGGCGATTTCAAGGATTCGAAACAGACCTTTCCCCTATATCTTGCAACAATTTGTGTTGAAGGCCTTAACCTAATACAGCCTCTAGGCGATCAGGCAGTTGCATTTATCGAGACACTTCTGAGCCACACGACAGTCATCTGGTAGGTGGAACTCGATCATTAGGGCAGCGTTTAGAATTAGGCGGGCTTAGAATAACAGATCAACCTGTTTTAGGCTTATCTACGTGTAAACTATAAATTTACGCGCATTATGCGCATGTATATTGTTTATTGATGCAGTGCCTCTTTTCACGAACGTCGGCAACATTTTGCCCTGGCGGAGTGCAAACTTGTGTCGCAGTCTGGCTGGGGGGGGGGGGGGGGGGAGTAGGCGTTGCTTGGGAGGGAGGCGAATACAGGTGTAGCTTGAGGAAATAAGGAACAAGTGCCCCTTTTGCCCCCCCCCCCCCCCCTGCTGACGCCCATGCGTGACAGGAGGGTGTTGATTCGTGCCGTTTTCCACAACGTGTTATGTATGCTACGCGCTTACTTTTCTTCTGCCGAGCGATACAGGCGAAAAGTAAAAAAAAAACAGAAAAAGCACTTATAACGAAGTAGTGGTTATATCGAATGAACACGGTTCCCCCTTTCAATTTCAATGGGTAACGAGGTTCTATCTGCGCACAAAATAAGGAATACTAGTTAATCTGTAAGGATATTTCCATTAGCGTTACAACAGAAGCTGTAGGCGTGCGCAGGGTTCCACTACTGGGGTAGAGAAAGGCGGGGGGGGGGGGCAAAATTTTTCTCGGCACCCCCTCTCCCCTTTATGTCATACATGGCGCCGACGATGCGCCCCCCCCCCCCCCCACCTGCACACGCCTACGGCAGCGTAGACATGAAAGGCTGAGATGAAATAGAAACAGGCAAACGGAATTCTTAGTACAGGACATCTAAGGTTGTTTCTAAGGTTGCATGGTTGGTTCTAAGGTTACATGGCAGATTGAAACGGCCTTCCCTACGAAATCGCTAATATTACCTGCTTATCTGAGTTTATCGAAGAGGTGTCTGCATTTCTGCCACCATAAACATTTTTTCTCTCTTTCTATTTTTGTAAACCCACCCTTTATGTGATACCTCTTTTTGGAGACTTTAAGGAATAAAGAATGAATGAATGAACATTAACCACTCTTGGTGTAAGTGCTCGGCATGGGTCGAATACCGAATGAGTTCCATTTTTTTACTTTATTTTCTCAAGGACAATATAGAGGCGAAAACAAAGGAACGTGTCTGTAATTGAAGTTGACACGAAGATCCCGCAAATGCGGATACCATCAATCGGTACTTGGATCGATGGTATCGATGGTATTCGCGGAAACAACGCATAGCGCCTGTCCCAATGTTCCCTTCTACACGTCTTCGATTCACTGCACTGTTTTGAAGATGAATACCAACATACTTGCCCAAATCTCTGTTCTATTGGCGTATACCGGAATACCGTACACGCTAAAAACTTTCCATCGACCCTCTGACAGGTGAACAAGCGCTTCGAGATGCACGGCGCCTTCCAGACGCTGATGTCGCTGCTTCGGGGCAAGAGGAGCGACGGACGCCGGGAAATGTCCTGCCGCGCATTCGTCGAGCGAAGCCTACAGCTGGCGCCCGCCTTCGAGGCGATCCTAGAGAAGAAGTACCAGGCCGAGATGCGCAGAGTAGAACTGGCGGTATGTGCACGATACACTAGACCCGCGCTTATGTGGCACACAATCTGTAGATGCAGTCACTCAAACCTCAATGACCAGCGGTCATCTGCCTTCGGTACGTGCCATGCTCGATTCGTCTCCTCGATTTCAAATTATGGTGTCCTAAAATCCCCGTTCGTTCCCTGACCCACGCTGCCCTCTTCCCGTCTTACAGTTACGCTTATTATTTTTCCTTTCCTATCGCTCACTGTGTTGTCTTTAATTTAGGCTGAACCCTCTTCGTAAGGCACATGTTCCTGCTGCGTAAGTACTGCTATACTGGATTTTAAGAGAAGACAAACGCGTGCGAGGGAGACATAAATTAGGCGAGCAGACGATAGTAGGATGATATTAGCATGCATGTGCCAAGTGGAAGCAGAAAGCCCAGGACCGGGTCGGTTGGCGGAATGTGGCAGCAGCCTTTGCCCTGCAGTGGGCGTAGTCGGACTGATTATGATGACGATTCATCCATGTATAGGTGCCAGCGACGTAGCTGTCAATAAGTTGGTTCCTCGTGCTGTTCTTTCTTAGCCTAAATAACCGAAATAACTGAAATAAAGTTACACAGATTCGTCGATGAAGCGTCATTGAAGAGCGGAATGGCGGTTTAGCCGCAACGTCTAGGCGATGAATGCATTAGCGACAAATGGGAATGTCTTTCGAAGCAAGGCTGGCAGCTAGCTCACTTTTTTTTTAACCTGGCACCTGGCGAGACTCGAACAGAGCGCCGGCGTAGGCAAAAGCGGTCACTATAAATAGCGAGCGACGTATCGTGCTGTTTACGACCTCAACGCAATTTTTCGAATGAAATATACTTCCCTAGTGTGCAGACAACGTTTCAGAAAGAAGACGGACAGAACTGACCCCAAACTTACAGCCATTTTATTGCACAGATGGCGGAGATACATATACACAGTCAGGAAAGCGAGGAGATGACACACAGAAAAAAAAACGGCGAAAAAAAAAGAGATGGCGCTTGTGCCAGAACATGTTATTCGAATTTCGAAATAACAATTTAACTGAAAAGATACTTGTGTTCATTGTCCAACAGATTAACAGACGGAACGTACACACTGCAGTTCCTGTTATGTGGTGTTTAACGTCCCGAAACCACAATATGATTATGAGAGACGCCGTAGTGGAGGGCTCCGGAAATTTCGGCAACCTGGGGTTCTTCAACGTGCACCCAAATGCGAGCACACGGGCCTACAGCATTTTCGCGTCCATCGAAAATGCAGCCACTGCAGCCGGAATTCGATCCCACGACCTGGGGGCCAGCAGCCGAGTACCTTAGCCACAAACCACCGCGGCAGGGAACTCAGTTTATGCTTTGCGAATCGAACACGCTTCATGTATTTCGCGTGCCCCTTGTCCCTTATATCTCGTCATTACTTGACATTCATCATTCATCAAACCTCTTTAAAAAAAAAACAATACCAACCATGCCTAAGTAGCCAAACGTTTGCCCCCCCCCCTTTTTTTTTTTTTCAGCGCAAGCTTTGCGGTAATCGAGAGCACGACACGTAGAAGAGTATGAACCATCCACCGATACCCCTTCTAAAGATACGATGCGCGCGATCACGGGGTACCACATAGTAGTGAAGGAATTCCCTGAGATTTCAATTGCGATAGGGGTCTTAAACGTCAGATTTGGGTGCACGTCAAAGAACCCCAGGTGGTCTAAATTTCCGTAGCCCTTCACTACGGCGTCTCTCATAATCATATGGTGGTTTTGGGACGTTAAACCCCACATATCAATCAATCAATCAATCGGGTCTTAAACATGCACTGAAAACCGCAGAATCAGTCCTTTCAGCAGTGCGCAGTTCCCAAATCCGAATATTGGCTTAGCCGAAATAATTGTTCTTACGGACGTTTTCGCGCATTCGGAGCCCAGTGAAGGCATGCATCCATTTTACGTGGCATGTGCACCACTCCGACCCGCATCAATTCAAGATTGCCCTCGAATCACTTTTTTTCATTCTGTAATTTTATTTATTTATTTATTTATTTATTTATTTATTTATTTATTTATTTATTTATTTATTTATTTATTTATTTATTTATTTACAATACTGCTAGCCCTTGAGGGCTGTAGCAGGGGTGGGAGGTGAACAGGTGAACAATACACAAACAATTAATACCCATCCCTCATGTAATACCCCAGCTGGGGCCTTTGAGGTATTGAAAATAAATAAATAAATAAATAAATAAATAAATGTATGGTTCACTGGAGTACAAAATATAAAAAAATTAAAGATGAAGCTTTTTCGAGGCCTCTATGGCAGTTAAAGGGACATTAAAGAGCAAAACGATTTGTCGTGTTCTAGTAAAGTACAATTTACAAGTACAAGTAAAATACAACCGAAAAACACCATTCTTACCAGGAGACAATGCTTGGCAGTCGAGGAAACGCTCAAAAAGAGACCAGGTGGAGACGCTACTTTGAGATTCCAGCACCTAACACCATGGCGTCATAGTTTTTGAGAGCGTGTACTGGGTGCTACACGGCTTCTAATCAGAAACTATCAAGTACATAGTTATCCGTAGGTGCCACAGGCCTCGCTTACGAAGCTTCAGAAAATTTCGTCCAGCCAATGTCACGGAAATACGAATATTACATTTTAAGATTTCTGACGTCACGCCCGCAGATATCGGCGCGAAATTTAAAAAGAAAACTTTAATTTTGATTTCCTCCGCCCGTATTGAATTAATGGCAGTGAAACACAAGAATTTAGACTTCTCAAGGTGCATCGTGTCGTTCTAAACCAATTCATTGTTTCTCATCAGTGTCCCTTTAATGCATCGTACACCGGATTACACCAAGTGGCACGGTCCTTTGGTAGGTCCAATGTGCGCTAAAATTATTTTCGGGATAACGTGCCTTAGCGCATGGTATACAGCGTGCTGAAACACTGACGACTCAAGAGTCCCCTGGGTACGAACGAGTCACGTTTTCCCCCTTCGCGGGCGGTTGATGCAGGACGAGCCGGACAGCGTCCGCGAACAGGTGAACTCGACCGTCGAGAAGGACACGCGGGGCGCCATTTCGCAGCTGCTGGTCAGCGGGGTGACCGACCACGACACCCGGATCATCATCTGCGACTCCATCTACGTCAAGGCCAGCTGGGACACCGTCTTTCCCGTGAGCGTGGGCGACGTATAGGCTTTTCTCCCGACAGCTCCCTGGGCGTCACTTCAAGGCCTGACCCCACGTGTGCGTCGCAGCGCGTCGGCGCGAGACCTTTTGACGCGCCGCCGCACCCTCTCCCTACAGAGTGAGTGGGCGTGTGGCTATACGCGAAGCCGCGCAGGCTCTCTCTTTCCATAAGGAGGAGGGCTCGACGCCGCGCCACAAAGGCACGCGCCGACGCGCTGCGACGGACACATGGGGTCAGGCCTTTAGTACTATTCGGACTGCTGTCAACATGCGTGACCACCCCTAAAAATGCACTGCCGAGGCTGTGGCGTCGGCTTTCTGTGCTCTCGTGGAACACGCAACGAGATGCAGTGCGATAGACGCGCATTCAACTTTCCTTGACGTTCTGTGTCGACGCGGCAATGTTAGAAAGATGCACGAAAATAACCTAACCGCCTGCACTGCCATAACACTCATCAGCATGTAAGAATATGATGACAAATATCCCGTCAAAGACACATTCCATAACATCTGAAAACGCACACACCACAGGCTACGGCAGCGGCGACCGAAAAGCACCCGTTCACGGTGAGCACGGGCCGACCGGCGAGCGTAAGCGGCGCCGCTGCCACCGCCATGGGCTCCGACCAGGGACCCGAGCTGATCCGCATCTCGGGGGTGTACCGACACTGCCGGGACGCCGAAAACAAGCTGCTCGCCGTAGAGGTGAGTCGCGAAGTCCAGGCGCAGGTGGACCGTTTAATAAAGAACTAGGTAGCGGAACCTCCGGACACTTTTGCGTTAGCCACGTGACCTGAGCACATGAACTCCGCGGGTGCACGTCACTGGTGGAGCGGTGCATCGCTGTCCACTATGCTTCTGGCAGTATAGCAATGCTGGAAAAAACAGAACCACGAAGTGGCATGGCGCTTCAGTTAAGCTATAGTATTGAAAGTTGGGCTATAATAGTTGGCACGGCAGCATTTTTGGGTACAGCGCGAGATCGACGAAGACGGAAGGGACACAGACGACTCATAACTGAAAGGACACGAGAACGGTGAAAGCAGTAAAGACAACAAAAAATGATGAAAAAAAGAAGCATGTCGACATCGCGCAGAAGTGTTAAAAAGGAATGTATAAAGCTACATAGGGTATCACCTACCGGTACATGTGCTGAGAAGATATGCGAACTCTTTGGCCATCAGGTACATCGAAACCTTCCTGACGCATGGTTCAGCCGTTCGTTTTATATGGAATGCTTCTATCAGTTCCCCGGTTATTATTATTTGTATCGGCAAAATTTCTGCATCTATAGCTAAGTTAAGCGATAGGAGCACAGTGCCGTTATTTGTTCCTGGCCATTACGTGAGCGTGTCGATTGAAAGGAAACGTCATTGTATTAAGGCCGAAGGGTGAGATGCTTCGTCGAATGCCAAAAAAATTACCTTCGGCGTCCAGCGGCGCCGGGGACGAGCTATGATGAAAAAAAAAAACATAGTGGCGTGACAGCCACATCACGTGAAGTCATTGTGACGCGACATGACTCTTTATGCAGAGTTATTCAAACACCAGATGCGGAACTGCGTTCCAAAATCGGGACACGCAGTTGGCCGGCCCTGCGGGAAAATTAGCAGACTGTCGCGCAATCTGGAAGCAGCAACGCAGAACGCAAAATGATGCGTTTAACAGTTGGCTTGGTGATTAACAGATGGCGCGACCATCTGCACACTCCCATCATCTGGGCCAATTACGTATCTGGATTTTGATACGTGGAGTTTATGGGGAGTTTCGCAACTCACATGATTGAATAATTCTGGTTATATGGCGACGTGATGTGACGTCACACGATGAAGCCATCACATAGCATCGTAGTTAGGCCAGTGGGTCGATCCCGTAGGCGAAGCAAAACCAGGTGTGGTGCATCCGATTCGCTGAAAGTTTTCGCAGGGTGGCGGAGCAGGATCAGTACTTCGATTCAGAAGAAGGTGGCGACTTTCGCCTTCGAGTCGACTTAGGTGAAAGCGTAAGGGACTTTGTGACGTTATATAGTGATGTCATCACGTCACGATGATATTTTGCATTCATCATCATCATCACCACCATCATCAGCCTGACTACGTCCACTAAGGGACAAATGCCTCTCTCTTGTTCCGCCAGTTAATCCGGTCCTGTGCTTGCTGCTGCCAAATTTTACCCGCAAACTTGTTAATCTCATCTGCCCACCTAAGCTTCTGTCTCCCCCTAACTCGCTTGCCTTCTCTTGGAATCCAGTTAGTTATCCTTAATGACCAGTGGTTATCCTGTCTACGCGCTACGTGCCCGGACCATGTCCATTTTCTCTTCTTGATTTAAACTATGATATCCTTAACCCCCGTTTGTTCCCTAATCCACTCTGCTCTCTTCTTGTCTCATAAGGTTACATCTACCATTTTTCTTTCCATCGCTCGCTGCGTCGTCCTCAATTTAAGCTGAACCCTTTTTGTAAGTCTTCAGGTTTCTGCTACGTAGCTAAGTACCGGCAAGATACAGCTGTTATATACCTTCATCTTGAGGGATAGCGGCAATCTACCTGTCATAATTTGAGAGTGCTTGCCAAATGTGCTCCACCGCATTCTTATTCTTCTAATTATTTCAATCTCGTGGTTCGGCTCCGCGGTTATTACCAGCCTTAAGTAGACATATTCTTTTACAACTTGAAGTGCACTATTACCGATCTCGAAGCGCTGCTCTCTTCCGAGGTTGTTGTACATTACTTTCGTTTTCTGTAGATTCATTTTAAGACCCACCTTTCTGCTCTCCTTGTCTAATTCCGTAATCATGAGTTGCAATTCGTCCCCTGAGTTACTCAGCAATGCAATCTCATCGGCGAAGCGCCGGTTACTAAGGTACTCTCCATTAACTCTTATCCCTAACTGTTCCCATTCTAGGCTTCTGAAAACCTCCTGTAAGCATGCGGTAAATAGCATTGGGGAGATTGTGTCCTCCTGCCTTACACCCTTCTTGATTGGTATTCTATAGGAAGCACTATGGTAGCAGTTGATCCCCTGTAGATTTCTTCCAGGATGTTTATGTATACTTCATCGACGCCCTGATTCCGCAGTGTCTGCATGACGGCTGATATTTCTACTGAATCAAACGCCTTCTCGTAATCTATGAAGGCTATGTATAGTGGTTGGTTATATTCTGAGCATTTCTCTATTGCCTGATTGATAGTATGAATGTGGTCGATCGTTGAGTAGCCTGTTCGAAATCCTGCTTGTTCCTTTGCTTGATTGAATTCTAATGTTTTCTATACTCTGTTAGCAATTACCTTTGTAAATAGGTTGTATACTACAGAGAGCAAGCTGATCGGCCTGTAATTCTTCACGTTCTTGTCATCTCCTTTCTTATGTATTAGGATGATGTTAGCATTCTTCCAAGACTCTGGTACTCTTCCCGTCAGAAGACAACTCGTAAACAGGGTGGCTAGTTTTTCTAACACAATCCGTCCTCCATCTTTCATTTGCACTATTCATCATTTCATTATCATTCCATCAAATGCATCATTTGAATTTTGCATTATTCGGCCGTAAAGACCTGACGATGCGTGCGCGTTGCAGCGTGTCAGCGCGTGGCTTCTGACGCAGCACCCCGCCCTTTCGCTCTAGAGAGAGAGGGCGTGCGGCTATGCGAAGCTGCGCCTTCCTACCTTTCCGTCGAGAGAGGACGCTGCGCCGCTCCTTGAGACCTGACCACGCGCACCCGTTGCAACGCGTCAGCGCTTGGCATTCTTGACTACCTCTCCCTATAGAGGGAGAGAGGACACGTCGCTACGCGATCCTACGCGCCCTTCCTCTCTATAGAGAAAGGGTGCGGTGCCGCGTCAGAAAAGCCGAGCGCTCACGAGCAGCGCAGCGCCCTCTCCCCATGGAAAGATGGGAGAGCGCGTCGACGCGCCGCAACGGCTGAGAGTGGTCAGGCCTTAACGCCGCCGACGCGGAAGTAGCGTAACGCCGGCGGTCAATTTCTGCGTTTAGTGGAGCACCTAGCAAGCTGTTGAGGAGTAGCTCCAGAATTGGGATTTCCGCTTTATTTGTTTAAGTGACTTTTACGACGTCCTCCCTTTTAAAAGCACGTTAGACGCTTCGTTAAATCAATTACAATTCCGAGGTTGCGAAATGAAGCAACCGCGCCGCTCGGAGCAATCGATGGAAAGGAACTCGTTTGCACCGACTTCTCACGCATAATCACGTTCGGCCGGGTTACGGTTACTTAAAATGGCCATCCACCTCAATTTCTGAAAGAGGTTGTTTTTAAAGTAGTTAGCTTTTATAACGTATGATAACAAACTGGCCGGAGCCCAGGCACGGTGGTCTGGTGGTTATGGTGCTCTGCTGATCCACAGGTCACGGGATCGAGTCCCACCAGCGGCGCCGAATTTTCGATGCAGGCGGAAATGCTCGTGGCCCGTGTACTTCGATTCGAGTGCAGGCTGAAGAACCACGAGTGGTCTAAATTTCCGGAGCCCCTCCACGGCGGCATCCCACGCAATATCGTGGTTCTTGGGACGTCAAACTTGATCCTACAATAGTCAAATGGGGCACTAAAGGCAACTATTAGGTCGACGTTGATTATTGAAATATCGGTCCAGAAGCCTCATTATTGTGCCAAGTAAGAGTTATTCTGAAATAAAATCACGTTTTAGTGGCGCGCGCATCGGGTTAGCAAACTTCAAATTACCCGCCTCAAGAAGAGGACTCACTCACGTCACTGTTGCCGTGCACAACGTTGCCCGGCTTTACTGCGTGGTCGCCGACACTATATATAGTAAACAAAACGAAAGCAGCGGGAGTCACAGCAGCAACAACGGCCATTGATCAATGTCGTATACAATTGGCTCCGAGATGGCAGACGTGTTTTGGTTCAACTGCGGCCCGCTATATTGCGCAACGTGTCCAGTGTAAACACGCGAAAATAGAATTTTTGAACCACTCGCATAATTGCCCATAGTATTGTTCGGCGGTTCTTTTTTTCCACGAATCAAACAGGAACGACCAAGGAGCATTTTATTACCTCTTTCGATGCACGGAAGGTTCTTTATTTGGTGCAGCTAGTTCGATCACTCGTGATTAATCGTAGGCGGTACGTGTGACGACATCTGGATTATTTTAAGATGATGCCCTACTGCGGCGCATATATTTTTGTACATTTACCTTAATTTCTCGGTAAGTAGCGCACTGCTGTTGATAATACTGTCGTTTTAGATGTTGTCATACACTGAGCTTTCACCCTGACGTAAATTGGAATTTGACTTTAGTGTCCCTTGAATAACGTATAGATCGATGAAAACGAACTTCTTTACCCTGAATACACATACGCAATTACACTTCCGGAGAGACTTCGTACGAACAGCTTGGGTAGGATTGCGAAACGACCAGCCAGTATACAACGTGAAGAGGTACACAAAGTGATGACACGAATTCGTGTACACTAATCAATTGTACTCTGAGAAATCGAAATGTTGTACCACCATATATAGTGCATAATAAAAGACATAACCAAGGTGGAAGTCTCGTCGCTAAATTTCGCGTCAAAACCTCCGCACATGACGTCACAATTTTAAAGCGAGTTTTTTTTTTCGCATTTTGGCGGCATTTCCTGACGCTCGGTATGCATGTCAAGTCTACGGCCTCATCAAAAGAGTATTTGATTCATTTTTATCCAATTAGGAACCACTTACGACCCAGTAGACGCCATCGAAATCTGTGACGTATCGATCTCGGCGTTTAGTGCGAAACTTTTATTCGGATACCCGCAGTTCGTTTTAGCACGTTTTTTGTTTTCGATTGTTAAGTGTCTTTTCGTTGTATGGGTAGTGTTTTCGGTATTGTAAATTTGTCACTTTAATTCCCAGCACTACTCCTGTGCCTAATTTTTTGACCCCGAAGCTGGTTAAGCTATCGGTAACTATACCGCCCCGTAACGCAAAACTTCTTAGGTGGGTAAATGTGCCACGGGACTATAGGGCAAACTCCGATAACGAGTACAGCAGGAGCGATCGCTAAACGAAAACTGCGCTGTACGAAGTTCAGCACGTGCAACTCATGAAAGAGGGAGATCGATTAAACGAGAGGGCAAAGAGAGAGAGGAAGAAAGAGGTAAGAAACAGACACTAAAGAGATAGAAACGAGAGAAACCACGACTGGAAGAGACAGTAAAAATAAAGAAAAGGAGCAGATAGAAAAAGAAAGGAAAGAGATATAAGGATATAAAGAATGGGAAAGAGGAATAAAGAGACAAAACAAAAATAAATAGAAAAACAAATATAAAGAAAGAGACAAAAAAGAGATACAAGAAGCAAAGAGATAGAGAAAAGCAAACAAAAATATTAATATAGGGATACCAGGAAGGCCCCCCGGTTCCGCTTTTCCTGCAGGCTCGGCACCACTATTTTGCAAAGGTGCATGGCGTCATTTTTTCTTTAAATCGTGCTCACCGCTCCGTTAAATCAGTTCGAATTCCGCGGTTGCGAAACACGAAACGTCCGGCGCCGCCCGGAAACGCGTCGACATCGATGGATAAGGAGCTTGTTTTGCCTCGAGTCCACACGCGCAATCACGTTCACCTGCGTTCACATCATTTTTGTAAAAGAGGCCGCTTTGTAAACGCATCCACATTTAGCGTATTACGAAACTGCCGGAACAAGCGGCTTCGGTTGGATCGCAAGACGCCCTGCAGCCGGTGTATATAACGCTTAATTTAGTCTCCACGGCCACGCTGACCTCGAGCACATGGCGCGGTGCTGCGAAACGTTGCATCACGCGCACATTTTTGTTTTCTCCGGATACGCTTAATTTTTTCGCTAGCTGTAATCGAGTGGTATCGACCGGCGAAAAAATTGATCACACACCGAACGAAGTCCGTATCTGTTCTCCTCTTTTCATTCACGTCTGGGTAGTTGGTGCATGAGCCTTGCGCTTAAAACAAGCGGTGACAGAACTTTAGAAGAAGAAGAGGAAATCTGGGTTAGTTGGTAATAGTTTATTTTCGATCTCACAGCGCAAGAAAGACGCAGACGATCCCGGCTGCGGCGGCTGCATTTCCGATGGAGGCGGAAATGTCGTAGGCCCGTGTGCTCAGATTTGGGTGCACGTTAAAGAACCACAGGTGGTCGAAATTTCCGGAGCCCTCCACTACGGCGTCTCTCATAATCATATGGCGGTTTTGGGACGTTAAACCCCACATATCAATCAAGACGCAGACGAAGTATAGGACTACACGAGCGCTGACTCTCAACTAAAGGTTTAGTAAAGGAAATGCACGAATATATATATATACACAGGTTAGCCCACTTCAACAAAGCAACTGCGCATGTGCAGCAGATCCATTCACGTGATAGCACTTTTTCAGGACACGTGGAGCATCCACGCGCGTCAAAAATCCAAAAAGACTTATCTACCCAACAGTTCCTACTAACAAAAACAGACGTGCGAAGCATAAGATAACTGACGCTTTAGAAATTGCACTTCCTTTTCTCTCGCGTTGTCCTGTACTTAGTCTGCATGCGTCCTTATTGAACTGTAAGTTATCGAAAATGAACTTTAGAAGAGCGGAAGTTTCGGTCAGCTGGTGATACACGTATACTTGCTTTAATTACCAACTGACAGAAAGAATTGACTGATTAAAGAGAAGTTTTTATTTATGTTGCTGTTGTTGTTGCCTAGAAAAAGACGCGAGGAAGGCGTTTTGTTGATGAGATTAGGGAGATTTAAAATTGCGTTAGCAGGCATTGCGGACGTTGTGGGCGCCGTATGAGCTTTAGAATAGCGTTTGCCCCGCTAGAGAAAAATCCAGAGACTTTGGCCCCTCCCGCAAACCCAAATGCACGGAAGCTATACACTATAGCCTCGTCACCAGCGCTTGCGGGTCTTGCGGGCCGCTCGCGCCGCACGCTATTTCGGATTTTCTGCGGCCGGACTGCAAACACGAACGGTGGCTCGCGTTACAACGCATGCGCAAAGGCAGCAACCGTACCGCAAGGGCTTGCGGCGCGCTATTATAAACCTCCCTATCATCGCAACGATCCGCAAACCTGAACGAGTCATTACCGAGCGGCATCAAAACTGCAGAAGAGTGTGGACAAGAGGAAATTAAGACTGCAAAAAAAAAAAATAGAGAAGGTGACACAAAAATTAGGAAAATTGTGACTACTTAGCCTCAACAAATTATCGAAGACGCCACGCTAGTAGACATATCAGTTCGACACATTGCGTCAGTCCGCTTGAAGACAACCGTGAGACTGAACTGCGCGAAGACGGGTTAAAGAAAGTGACCAATACAATCATATACACCATGACACGTCGTAACATGTATCTCATATAACCAGGGATGGCGCCAAAATTACTTTACCAGGGGGGCACCCACGATAGGTGAGTTCCTTCAAAGGGGGGACAAAGGGGCGGAGAACTTATCTTTCGTGTTATACGACCACGTTCCCTCTTGGGGGGGGGGGGGGCAACGGGAAGGGGCGAAAATTTTTGGGTTCTCCACCCTTCACTCCCCTGCCCACCTCTGGCGCCGCCCCAGTATGCAACGTCTTGCTATACAAAGTACACCTCTCTCCCATGCAGGTTCCCTTGCGCGGTGGTCAGCTGAGCCTGCTGCTCTTCTTGGCGGACAACGCGCCCAGCCTGCGCCGTTTTCACAAGCACCTGTCCCTCGACCTTTACGAGAGGATTCTCGACAAACTGAAGGACACCGGCGAGAGGATATCGGTGAGTGGACGTGTACCGAGTCGACGTCGCGTACAGAAAGTCTCCCCGGAACGTTTCTCAAACAACGTCGCTGTGGTATACGGTGTCGTATTGTCACGTGGTCGTGACGTTAAACGAAGGCAGCAGTCAGTACGGCAAAAATAAAGCCGTTTATTTGGGAAAACTTGCGGCCGGTAGACGGAAAATACACACTGAATGCGGAGAACAGAGCGTCGGCCGTCGATCAACCGATCCAAAGCAAGGCACGTCGGCTTTGCGCATGATGCGGCGTCGAACATCATCGCTTGATATGTGGGGTTTAACGTCCCAAAACCACCATATGATTATGAGAGACGCCGTAGTGGAGGGCTCCGGAAATTTTGACCACCTGGGGTTCTTTAACGTGCACCCAAATCTGAGTACACGGGCCTACAACATTTCCGCCTCCATCGGAAATGCAGCCGCCGCAGCCGGGATTTGAACCCGCGACCTGCGGGTCAGCAGCCGAGTACCTTAGCCACTAGACCACCGCGGCGGGGCGAACATCATCGCTAGTGGCCCCGTTTGTTAAGGAATCAACTCAGCCGTTCGCATATGCGCGCTCAAGGCTAACAAATGATCTTAAGATAATCTGAAATAGACAATCTGGCGTGATTTGCGCGAGGCGCCATCTACACTTGCGACGAGCGGCAACATGAAACACCGAAAGAAAAGAGCCAGCGAACACTGCTGGCGTGTGTGTGAGAGGCTTTAACAGCGCCTCCTCCATTTTCATAAATGGCAGCCAGATGCACCCCAATCTAAAGTAGATCTATAGCCGTTCACCACCCTTTCCTCTAGCCCTCTCCTGATCTCACCCATCACCTAGACTTCGCGCGTGCTTTGCAGTCATGGGGGAGAGGGCCCATCGTGTATAGTGCATCGCGCCGGAAATCAGATATGAAGCTAATCTTTTGTTCAGTTGTGTACAGATCCGTTGGGCGGCGTCTTCCACTCCTCGTGTTCACAACGTCGGCGGCCGCGCTGGCTCTGTAAAAAATACACTGCTTTGAGACAGTGCCTCTCAGTTCGTGGCGCTAAACGGGCGGCCAACGGGGACGCCAGCCCATAAAGGCAGCCGCATACACTGACGTTATAGGGAGGGGGTGCGAAAGGGGAGCGCGAAGTTAGCCCCATACATCGACATAATAGGGAAGGGTGCGCTGCTTCGAACCTCCTCCCACCCCCTTCGAGCACGCTTATGAACGTCAGGCACAGTTATTCGATTGTATCAAGTGCGAGACTCTCTATATACGCTCCGTGTATCGGAATCCCAACGCGGCGACGATCGAAATTGCGGAAGCCCGCCAACTGGTTGTCGCGCGACTTATCGGCAGGGAACCGAACTAATTAGGGGCACCTTCAAACTGTGTTTCGCTTTGCTGAGTATATTATATGCCACATCGCTGACGAAGCGAGCTGTGTCTCCGCGTTTGCTGTTTATACTTGTTTAGCAGACGATATTGCGGCCAAAGAGCTCTCCTTCTATTGCAACATAGATATATGTGACGTAAGAAGGTATAGCGATGGTTGGTAGAAGCCGAGGAGGAAGGAATGACAATGGAATAAACATGGCGTATGAGCCAGGCCACGTCTCCCGTTTATCATAGCGTCACATGGACAGATTTTATTCTCGGGGCGTCTTAAACGTACCATGAGGCAGCATAATTTATTCATGCTTGTACACTCCCGTTGCAAAGAGAGGTATTTCTCTTTTTTGACAGGTCCCCGTGATCAATGAGGGTTCCCATTGGTATGTTAGTACCAACATAATTCACATATCGCATCAAATTCAAAAACCTCGATACCTCGAGTGCGACAGGTAATTAGCATCGACACATCATCCGGGACAGCTCTCGTCTCCGCTCACGCGCGTTATCGACGAAACGAGGTAATAAAAGGGTAATAACTATTGAATTAACTAAAACTCTAACTTCACGGAACCGGACGACTTTCGGCCGCAGGTCGAGATTAGGCGCGGAAGGGACCGCACGCAGAGGATTGCTCGTCAGACAGCGTCAGTACTGAACTGGTATAGAGGCCCTCAATTCATCGCGTGCTTATAATCCCTGTTCGGTAAATCCGTAGGGTCGTTCTCGCATGCTATTCTCGATCCCTTTTACACAGCACACGAACTAAACGATTTTAACTATAACATATTTAGCAAGAAAAAAAAAAGGTATACCGTATATACTGGATCATAACGCGATCACAAGTGTAACGCGATGGGTGAGTCTTTGTCGCGTCTTAGTAGAAAAAAAAAAAAAACTAGTTATTTCGGTATCTGACAGCGACGCGGGGGTCGACTTTAAGCAGCAAAAATATGGGGGCAAAACGAGTAGCATTTGAGTAAATAAGGCAACTTGTTTACACAAGCCACGTTCGATGTGCGAGGTTCGACAGGACGCTTTATGCAGCGGCTTAGGCACAAGCCATAAACAGAGGCAACCGATGCGCGACCGTGGTGACCCGGGGAAAACAAAAAAAACAAAAAACAGTCACTCGCGGAATAGGAGGGCATGCAAGCTCTCAAAGCCAAGAAGTGATCCCGTCCACTGCACGGACACATCGCGTGCTCGTTCGTACAGTGCACGCTCCCTGCAGTCGCGACCCCGTTCCCAGATGCACCTCGGCGAGCACGAGACAGAGAGAGAGAGAGATATATATATAGAGAGAGAGAAGAAACAGAGAGAGAGAGAAGAAAGAAGAGAGAGAGAAACAAAAAGAGATAGATAGATAAATAGATAGATAGATAGATAGATAGATAGATAGATAGATAGATAGATAGATAGATAGATAGATAGATAGAGAGAGAGAGAGAGAGAGAGAGAGAGAGAGAACACTCGCCAGCGCTGCGGATTGTAGACAACGAAAACGTCCGGGAAAGGCAAGCTTGCTCCTTTTGTGTGCGTCCAGTGTCCGTTATATAAACGGTTTCAAGATTGCAAGCGTTGTACCCCCCAAAAAACTTTCGGTCACCTCATTTACCACCTCCTAACTTCGAAACTAAAAGCACATTCTCATGTTTTTTTTTAATTGAGGAAAGTCTCTCTTTACTTTTTAGATGAAAGGAACATGCGTGAAATTCAAGAGCATCTCTTATCGTTTTTATGTAGCTCAAGAGAAAAACATTTATTTAAATACATTTATCCAAATAAGGGAAAGAAAGTGTAGAAAATGAGCGGGCTATTTTGTAAAGCTCTTCTTGCCCACCGATGCTATTAAGGCACATCAGTGGACGAAACCGCAAGTCATCAAGGGCGTGTGTTTGTAAACAGTGAAAGGGACCAAGAGAACACTCTCCTGCGATAGTTTATTACACCCGATGAAGCCGTAGCGCTTGAAACGCTACGACCAAGGAAGAACACAGAGGCGAGGAAGAGTACACGACACAAAGTCATGTCCTCTTCTTTAGTGCCCGAGTTTTCAGTGTTATAGATGACTTAATCGAATGTACTAAAGCACCCCATTGCATCAACGCTTGCCCACAAAGATGTCAATGATAGACTTCGTATAGCATCCACGCTGTTTTACTGACGCATCTTATTATCACCGTCGTCAGCCTGACTCAAGGAGAATTAAAAACAATGCTGGAGTTCAAATTATTGCCCAAGAGTGAATGCATACCCACCAATAGATGGCGACGGCAACCGTCATCTTACTAGAGGCACGATAAACGGTCGGCGTTGATCGATTGAACCTGAGCTTTACCTGACCTTAATGCTCCTTGTCCTGACTACGGTCAGTGCAGGGCAAAAAAAAAAAAAAGCCTTTCGCCCATCTTGCACTAGCATGCGGTCACACTATATCCTAGCACTGTTAAATACTATATATATGTCCACCTAACTTTCGACCCCCCCTTCGTGCGCTTGCTTTCATTTGGAATGCAGCCTATTACTCTTGATAAACAGTGGTTACCAGGGGCGTAGCCATGTGGGAGGGGAGGCTAGGTGGTTCAACTTCCACCTCTCCAAGATTTTTTTTTCAGTTTAGCTTGAAGTTGAAGTTGAAGTTTATTTCAGGCAAAAGCAAAAAAAAAAAGAAGAAGACAGGTACAATTTGCCTAGGGGACCGGCGAAAAGGCATAAAAGCCTGACAAAGCGCCTGCCCCCTGTAAACCCAAAACCCACCAATATAACACAGTGCTCAGTGTAAAGTAAAGAGTCAATAAGAAATTAAGCATAAATAAGTTTCTACATGCAAAACATGTACAGGAAAACATAAATGAGCGAAAATTTGCGCAGGCGATGAAATCAATAAAGCATATGCGTGTCCGACAAATGAAGCAAACTGTAGAGGACATAAACAAACACTAATGTAAGGCATGTAAAATACCTGAAGAAACTTTAAATTTGAATACAAGGTTTCAACAATCAAAAGCTTGGGTACATATACCCGCACGTACACAAACGTACGCACGAACATACATAAAGTATCGTTGAACACCCCTCCCTCTGAAAAAAAAAATTCTGGCTACGCTCCTGGTCGTTATCTTGACTTCAACGACATGTTCAATTCATCTTCTTGGTTCCGACTAAGACGTCCCTAACAGTCGTTTGTTCCCTGACCCACTCTGCCCTCTTCTTGTCCCTTTAAGTTACGCATATTGTGAGCGCTGACTATTCGCTTCATCATCTTCATCTGTATACGAAAAAAAAATCTTGTAATCATCACCATCATAGTTAGACACGCGGTCGGCGCTGCTTGTGACTCGCGCGCCTGTGTTGGAGAATACCACAGTCGTCTCATCGTATACCTGACATCGTCGGGTACGACGAATTGAATGGTCAGCGCTCACAATAACATTTTCCTTTCAATGGCTCGTTGACTCGTACTGAATTTAAGTTGAACTCTTTTCGTAAGCCTGTAGGCGTCTGTCCAGTATAGATAGATACCAAAAAAGGTGCCGCTGTCACGTACACATTCCTGTTGTGGGAGGTGCCTGAGGATTCGTGCCAGGTGGGCTCCGTGATGTTCTTACT